CTGTTAGCAGCGCTTTTGATGTGCCCATGTGCGGTTAATCTGAAAAGCCCAGTCGGAAAAAGCCCAATGCAAAAATCAAGTGGGAGGCTTGTGCTTGCCTGTCAGCTATAGCCGTGGTGTGACAGTGAAAACATAGTTGAGAATGTTCCGAATCCGATATATAATATAGTATCTGTTTTTCCTCTTGATTTCTTGGCTTGTGGAACACGGCCGATTAGATGCAGAGTCAACGGGAGAAGGGATGTGTGGGTCCTCAGCATCATGCACTGCCTGGGGTGTTTATGAACTGCGAGGAGCCTGTATGATTGCCGGCAACACGGTGGAGTGATGAATGCGTAGGTGTGAGGCTATTGTGAGGTCATTACCTCCAGGGTCCATCCGGCTTTGATCAATTATGGAAGACTGCCTCACTGTGCGCCTCCAACAATAAGTAATTTTGAGCATGCAAAACTTGTCAGAGCGAATCTCTAGAATGTGTGGAAACAAAAAAATGTGAAATAGTCACAACCAAACTTGAATCCCCTCAAGGTTACAAGGCATGACTTGAAATTAAAGAGACAACAAAGTGGGAGGACATAAGCTGAAAGCAGTGTGTCAGACAAAAAAGTGACAAGGGCTGGCTCCTAAAATGAAATATTTTGAGGAAAATTACTTTTTTGACATATGACAGAATCGCATGGTGAACACTATTGTTCAGTATTGCATCAGCTGATTAAGTGCAGAACTTCTTACTTTAGCCTTTAACAACTCTGCTGTGTACTGAAATGCTCTTATTCTAGTGATCCTGATTGTATGTGTGCCATACAATATATATCACTGTTTTGTAAGAATATCTGTGCCTGTTTGTGAAAAATGTTAATATATATTTTTAGAATACCGTTATTACACTAATTTTTGCAACAAAACTCTGCAGTGTATATCCTTGTTTACACACTGTCATATATTAACACCCAGTTAGTAAATAGACTGATGCATGTCTCACAAACCTGAATCACACATCACGGTTCTGATTTATTTAGAAACTGACAAATCCAAAAACTACTCACAGTTCAGTAAAGGTTGTGAACTGATTCACTTTCACTTTCTGAGTGAGTCTAATTGAAACTTAACAGCAGGTTCAAGGCTGAATCTTTTGTGATTGACTCAAGAATCAGATCATGAGAGTAATTTTCATGATTTGGATATTATTAAAAAATGCTTAATGTGGTTTAATGTAGTAAGACAGAGATATCAAAAGATCAAAAATACAATTCATCGATTATGCATACTATATACAGTCAATCAGATGAGCCAATAATATGAATGCAATGCACCAAAATGCTTAAGCATTTTCTTTATATTGGTTTTCTATGGGAAAGCTCTTAATGTGAAACTTTGTGCAGTACAATCATATTTTGCGCTCATCTGCTTGCATGTACATCAATAAGTGTATCATACACTTATTGATGTACATGCAAGCAGATGAGTGCAAAATATGATTGTGTATGTATGCATCATCAATAAGTTGTATACTGAATTTGTCATTTAATATCACTGTCTTAGTACATTAGCCTAGTAAAAAACAACTGGCTGGCAGGCAGCAGAAGAAAGCCTTGTTTTGCCTTCCAAGTGGAAGGATATGACATTACTTGAAACTTGTGAATTGAATGGTAATGCATGTTATATTTTTTTCTGATTGCCATAGTTGGTGAGATTCGTACATTTAAATTAACTTCTGCCGTCATCTGACAGTTTTGAAACTGTCTATCAATATACCCATATTTTAGTGATTTTAGTTCCCTGATGTCTTTGTGCTGTGTCACTGTCGCAGATGTTTTCGTAGCAGCAGCAACACAGGAGCACAATGGTGCGTTCCTGCATTTTTTCTCTGCATTGTGATGTAACTGTCAAGTTTGAGTGAAAAAGACAGATCCAGTTCACCCACCAAATGCTGCTTGATCACACACGCACACACGTGTGTGTATATCACTTTCCATCTTCTTCTCAGGTGTCAGTCAAATGCTCGTATGTCATATAAACATACACAGGTGTTTTCAGGGCCTCCAAATCAAAGCTGAATTTACAGAGTGCATGTTCAGACATGCCCGATTACATTGCAGAGATATGAGGGATAAAAGAGTTGTCAGTCAGCACAGCAGGGGTTGATGTGTTCTGTGGTGTTTTTGATGAGACCAGTGTCCTCTGAGGGATAGTCCTGGCAGCCTTCACTCAAAGCAGGCCAAAGATGAGCTGACTCTGGATACAGGAGACGCTCAACTGTAGATGACTGCTTCCCAGACTGTGTTTTCAAGTGCTGCTGACTCTGAAATGTCTCTATGCTCTAAAATACAACAAATTGTCGGGATTCCGCATCCATGTGATCACATTTTGGACTGACTTATGTTAAAGCGATATGATGATTCATAAAATGGGTATGTCCTTCATTAAAGAAAATAATTTCTGAGCCACCAGCGGCACCTTATGATAAAAAATAATGATTGTTTCCAAACAGGTTTCCTCTGGGTGCCCTCTTCTTCTTCTATTGGTTAGTTAAACAGATAGCCCTGCCCAAAACTTCTGCCATTGGTTGAGCCACTGTTGCTTAGAGTGGTTCAGGTTCCGGAATTTTAATTTTCTCCACAGGGGAAATGAGTTTTAATGATAAGTTATATAAACCTTTACAGACAACAAAGACAGACCTACTGTGAGCTATGAGGTTGTTAATCAATGGTATATGCTTTTGTTGAAGCCATCAACCCACATTATTTCACAGCCAAACTTACTGACATAAAAATTATAATGAAACTGTACTACTTGTGCACAATGCACATTTCTGAAAATTAAGCCTAAAATGTGTTTTAATGTCACTACTGATGAGGATTGTTTGATCTTTGAATAATATTTCTCTTTAAATGCAAGATATTTAAAGTGTACCAAAAAGTACACTTGCAATAGTTCCACTTTAGCACAATCAAATATACTTCTCAGTATATCTTTATTTGGACATCAACACTACTTCAGCACAAATAAAGTGCATTAAGTACAAAATTAGTACAATTTAGCAGATTTTTTATAGTACAATTTTATACTATACCAGTTTAGTATAAAAAATACAGGGTATTTTTATTAAGCGCATAAATATGTAAATGTATTTGTAGTATACTTAGCATGAAATAAATGTATTTTAAATACATTTTAGTGTATTTGTATCATGACAACTCTTGGTAGATTTTAGCATGGTAATGAATATGACAGTGTTAATGTATTTGGTCTTGGTGGAATAGATCTGCTACGCTGCTGCTGCTTAATTGCTGCTGCTGTTAGTTATTGCTGTTGTTGTAGATTATTGCTTCTGCTGCAAAGCAAGTACAGGAACGATACGGTGCAGTGAGTATTTAAGGCATACTGCTGCTGCACAAATAGCATATATAATAACCCGTTGCAGGTCTATACAGGTGGAGCTAGGGAAGGTGGAGGGTTTCAGAGGAACTCTCAATGTGTGCTGCGAACTGCTCGAGTGAATGCTACCCAGCCATTTAAATGTGAGGCAGTGAGCTCATTGGCTGAACCAATCAGCTAGTGCCAAGTAGTTTATCGCTGCAAATATCAATTTACATTAACGACCCATCAGCCTGCACCATCTAGAGTTTCATGACAGAACTTGGCATTTATTTTTCACTAGGGTAGTTTGCTTCAAATTAAAGTTTGTAAAGTTCATAGCTTGTTGATTTGATTTATGGTTTATAACTCTTAAATAAATAATTTTTCAAATAAAAATCCCTATGGGAAAAATACATCTGGAACCAATGCTGCTGAAATGTGGCTGGGCACGTTTGCTCTCTATTAAGCTTGAAGAAATCTTAAGCATTTTAAGAAATCTTGATGATGATGTGTTGTGATGATGGTCATATAAAATTAGATGATGATGATATGTTGTGGCAATATTTATGTTAGCCATGGCGATATTTCTCTACTCTGACTCATTCTTGCATCTTTTCAGCGAAGGGGAACACATTGATGTGACACAATATTTTCCACATACTTCACGCTTACTGAGTGTACAATTCTCTTCTTAATAAAAGTGCATATCGAAAGAATTTAGGGCTGTGTTTGCATGGGTGGCTACCACAATTTGCATAAACTAAAGATAATAAATATATTCAAGAGGTTTCACCACTCTGTCCATTCGATGTTTACTGATATGGACATCTAATGTCTCAGTACACCACACAGTATCTACTTTGCCAAGACAGCAAAAACTGACTTAAATAATGCAGGTATCAGGAAATCAATAACAAGGTTGTCCAGCACCAGGGACTGTTGCAGTTAAGCAATGCGGCACTGAATTTTGAGCCACTGGTCTTTCATTTGTCTTGACAGGGTTATATCATATCAGGAGCACATATTCATATAGTAAAATAATAGTTTTTTTTTTAGCAGGTTTTTCATTTTAAGTCAGGTCTTAAATAGATTTAGCAGTAATGTATTTCATCAAGACATATATTCATGAAGTGGACATGAAAGTGTCATTTTTTTAATGGTCTACATTTCAGGAGTGATAAAGCATATGCATTGCCACTTGACTTGTGATTTAAACATTTGCTGCAGAAAAGTAATAATTTATAGCGCTGTTGTAGCTGACAAAGCCAAATTCAGTCAATAAGCAATTTCACCTCCTGTTTACACCTACAACTGAAAAGATAAATGACTGCTGATGACACTAATAAGCTTGTGAACTTTACAAAAAAAGGTTGTTATTATTATTATTAGTCAGAGTGCTGAAATATTTCAAGTGTTATGAGCACCAAGTGTATAATTATCTTAAAGCAACTGCCTCTTTTTTAAGGACACTTGAGGGAATATCAAGGATATATTCAAATTTTACCCAGGAGGCAATTAGATGTTTTTTAGCAGTTGGAGCCTGTCTTTTTTCTTGATAGTTGCTCCTCAGAGATGCATCGCTCTCCTCTAACGGTCTCCTTCTCTTTTGTCTTTGATTCATCCTTCTCACATTTCACCAGGAAGTGGAGGTCAGTAGTGCTGTATCATGACTATGCTTGTGTTTGATGTCTCTTTTCAAATGCTTGATCTAATATTTGCTATCAAAGCTGTAACCCATTTTTTATGCAATCTAAGTTGCTCATGCATCTTCATTTGACATTTCATTTAAGCGTTTACCTTTTTTGTCTTGTTTGCCTCAGAATTTTTCTTAAATTCCATCCCTCCTTTTTCCATTAGTGCTTTTCCACTGCTTTTCACAATTAAAGTATCTTAGTATTGTACTTTTAAGTTTGGTTAATGAGAGATGCACAGTGATAGATGTAATAATCTTGACTAAATTCTTAACATTTATTCTGTGCAGCACATTTGACTGTTTCACTTCTTTGCTTTTGTCAGGACGATTACATCAGATCATGGGATGAAAGTCAAGGCTCGAATGAAAGTAAGTCATCTTTAATATTGGTAAAAGTATCACATTACATTTATTGGAGTGATCTTTTAGCCATTCTATTTAAGTGCCCAAATCGCATGATGTGCTGAACAGTGACCTAGTTTATTATCAAATGGAGCTGGATTTTACATTAGGTTAAATATTCAGACTAATTAGTGCCAGTTTGAGGTTTTTCTTCTGTGTAAATGAAGTCTTCTGTTATCATGATACTCAACATGCATTTTGTTTTCTGTCAGTTGCACACAAGAGTCAACACAGTTGCAGTGTAATGTATTCAGGGAAGTCAGGACCAATCAGAGTTCAGTATGCAAATAGATGTAAGAAAGAGTAGTACTCAGTGTGCAAATATTACAGTGATTTGAATAGATTTAAACATTGTCAGCAAGTCAGTGGAAGATTTTTTCAAACTTTATTAGCTAATCTAATTTTTTTTTTTAAAGTATAATGTTTTAAACAAAAATTGAAATAGTCTAGAATTAAAGTTTGAACCCCACAACACGTTAAGCGCTTTAATCTGAATTAATTATTGAATTAATTTAGTCAGAAATGTAATATTTAGTGTTTTAAAACAAGCACTGTAATTATCATTCAATGGTACGGTTAGGCTTGGTCTGCGTATGTTTGTCACAGCAGACAGCCCTTCTTTTCTTCTTGGCTGCCAAACACTAATTGCTTACACAAGAGATGAGGTCATCTCCTCGTTTTGCTAGAGTAAAGAGACTGCCCGGGCACATTTGAACATTATGTCTTGATTTTTTCAGTTGAAGTGAAGTCCTCAGAATGGAGGAGTCCATTAGCAAATATCTCATTATGTAATTAATGGATAATTGCTAGTTCCACTGAAGGCCCAGTAAGCGCCCCGAAGGCTTGATTTAGCACTGACTGACACTGGCTTTGTTCCTTCATAGCACAAATCCACTTAAGCTTCATATGTCCAAGAACAGAGGTCCACGAACCCGATGGTTCATTTTTTATATTTTTTTTTGAGCTGGCACTAAAGCTTCTTGCACAGCCGTCACTACTCCCACCACAAATCTTTTGTTTGAAACTCATTATTTGAACTGATTCTCTGTGACAATAGGGAATTATTATCAGATCCATTTGTCACAGTTGTTAGAGAGCAAGATTTCACACATATGAATAGATTTAAACATTGTCAGCAAGTCAGTGGAAGATTTTTTCAAACTTTATTAGCTAATCTAATTTTTTTTTTTAAAGTATAATGTTTTAAACAAAAATTGAAATAGTCTAGAATTAAAGTTTGAACCCCACAACACGTTAAGCGCTTTAATCTGAATTAATTATTGAATTAATTTAGTCAGAAATGTAATATTTAGTGTTTTAAAACAAGCACTGTAATTATCATTCAATGGTACGGTTAGGCTTGGTCTGCGTATGTTTGTCACAGCAGACAGCCCTTCTTTTCTTCTTGGCTGCCAAACACTAATTGCTTACACAAGAGATGAGGTCATCTCCTCGTTTTGCTAGAGTAAAGAGACTGCCCGGGCACATTTGAACATTATGTCTTGATTTTTTCAGTTGAAGTGAAGTCCTCAGAATGGAGGAGTCCATTAGCAAATATCTCATTATGTAATTAATGGATAATTGCTAGTTCCACTGAAGGCCCAGTAAGCGCCCCGAAGGCTTGATTTAGCACTGACTGACACTGGCTTTGTTCCTTCATAGCACAAATCCACTTAAGCTTCATATGTCCAAGAACAGAGGTCCACGAACCCGATGGTTCATTTTTTATATTTTTTTTTGAGCTGGCACTAAAGCTTCTTGCACAGCCGTCACTACTCCCACCACAAATCAAACATTATTTGAACTGATTCTCTGTGACAATAGGGAATTATTATCAGATCCATTTGTCACAGTTGTTAGAGAGCAAGATTTCACACATATAATGATAAATTTGATATTTAAGAGTTCGTATTTGTGCTATTAATAATGTGAACACTTAAGTATTAAAACCAGTATTAATCACATAAATAATTTGGTCATACATTGTAAGAAAGAAAAATCCATAGAAAAATGGAAAAGGTACTTGTAATTTTCTTCCAGGACATTTTCCGTTAAGTTTACTGACATTTAACCCTACTGGTTCTTTTAATCCAATGTGGAGTTCAAAATATGTGTAAAACACCTGTGAAAAATGAATACTGAAAATTTATTCAAAATAACACAACAGAGATTTTTATGGACTCTTCTTAGAGGCCAGTCACACAGAAGGCGTTTTAGCTTTAAAAAGCGTGAGACGTAGGGAATGGAATGGGGGGAACAATGCAAGGTCTCAAGACAAGCTTTTAAAGTTGAACTTCTTTTAACTTGAGCACCACATTTTTAGAAATTGAAAAACGTGTGTACACAAATATATGCACCGTCTTATTTTTAAAAATGTATTTGTCTTACCGCATTGAATGCATTTTATCTCCTTTATGAGATCATTAATGAGGCAGTGATGAGAGATTTGTCCCATGATGTTTCCGCTTAAAAGCAGCCAGTGCAGACATCAGTCAAATTCAGATCCTTTTTTCTTTCAAAGAGAAAAACAAGGAACAGCTCACTGATCTTATAGTGTCACAGTCCTTTGTATTTTGTAAAGAGCTGCAATTTCTGAAGAAGGAATTTCAAAAGTAAAAGGAATTCTATTTGAAATATATTAAAGAGATTGTTCTGGCCAAGTTTTAAGAGTGTTAAAAAACACCCTTGTTGTGGCATGATAGGAATTAAATTAGATAAATCTGCAGTGTAGAAGAAATGTTAAATTGTATCAATTATTTACTTTATGTTGGTGTCTAATTGGCCTTGTAAGACTTTATTTATAGTCTGATATTTCAAGAGCATCTGCTCTCCATGTTTCGATTTTCAGGCGTCAGACAGCTAACAGATACCAAAGCAGACGAAATTCCCAAAGAGCCTTATTTACAGTGTCTTCTTGGAACGTAGCACTGGTCCTTACCTTTTTAATGAGGAACAAATTTGCATTTTACAAGTTATCAACACAGCAGTTGTCATACAACTTCAGGACAAATCTATGATGTATCTATTGTGACAGTAGTTTTTCTCAAAACACCAGTCATAATACTTGCTCATGTCTATATAAAAACCTCCTTGCTTCAAGAAAGGGACATATCCTATAAAGT